AAGAGGTCGTGCACTTTGCCCTTCCCGGATGGCATTTTTTCGACACCCCCACGCAGATTCTGGCGCCCGAGGGTCACAAATCGAGCCCTCCCCCCAAAGACGCGCCGAAGTGGCCATCAAACGCGCCCAAGTTCCGAAGGATTCCAAGAGCTTCCAACAGTCCTCCGAAGCATGTCCCCGGAGGCCAAAAATGCTAATTTCCCGTAGTTTTTGAAGGAGTTTCGCCTTTGCGGCTAGCCGACGCTCCAAGACAGCCAAAGAGACTTACAAAACCGCCCCAAGACGGCCAAACAGGAGGCCCAAGGTGGCCCAAGAGGCGCCCAAAACTGCCCCAAAGGACCCCAAACCAGACCCAAGAGGGGGCCAAAGAACGGGGGAAAACGCTGACACTCCGAGCCCTGGGCCCCCATTCGCCCACACAAAGCCCCAAGACCCCCCCAAGGGAACGCCAAGAGGTCCCCAGAGGCCCCCAAGAAGCCCAAAGCAAGCCCCAAGACGGCCCCCAAAAAGGCCCCAAAGCTGCCTCCAAGAGGGACCCCTGACGCCTCTGAACCACTACCCAGGCACAGGCACGGTGGCGGATTTCGCCGAAGGCCATGATGCGTGCCAGAAGGTCCTCTGTCTTTGAATGTCCGCCAGGCTCTCCCTGCGAGCCCCCAGGCCGCTCCGAGACGGCTCAGAAACGCCCACGGGGGCGCCTGGACAGACCAAGAGGGACCCAACCCCCAGGAGGGACCCTAGAGGCAAAAATTGCCCCCTTCCCACAGAAAACGTACATGTTTGATATGATCGCTCTTTTCGTCTTCGCCGCGCCCAAGACGGCTATACAGGCCTTCCCGATCGCCCCAAGACTCCACCAGAGCACCCCAGGAGGGCCCCCAAACGGCCCGAGGCGGGCCCGCGACGGTTCCAGAGACGCCCTAGACGGCCCAAGAGGCAACCAACACAGCCCAAAGAGCGGTCAATAACGGCCCTAAGACGGTCCGAGCGGCGCCCAAGACGGCCCCACACGGCCCCAAGACGGCCCAAGAGGCATTTAAGACGGCCCAAGAGGGACCCAGGGGATTCCCGGGAGGCCGGAAAGAGGCCCCCAAACAGCCCCAAAGAGGCCCTAAGTCCTTAAATGGTTTCCACCTTGCCTCTAAGACAGAGGGGGCCAGACGAGAGGCGCGGGCAGGACCGCATGCCCACAAGAGCTGTTTTCAACTCTCTGGGGCCCTTCCATGCTTGTCTTTTGGGGAGCGGTCCGGAGCGCCCCGGAGCGCTCCGCGAGCCCTTCGGGCGCTCCAGGGCCTTTGGAGGCTCCCCAAATGGCGCCATGAGGGCCCCACACGGCGCCCATGAGGGCCCCAGACAGTCCTTGCACGCTCTAGGAAGCCCCACAGAGCGTCCACGAGGACCCTCAAATGGGCACGACACGACCCAAGCGAGGGCCAAGGCGCTCCGAGAGGCCTCCAAAAGGCTTCACAAGAGGGTCCCGAAAGGTCAAAATCGTTTGTTGTCCTAGGCTTTTCCAAAGATTTCCCGCTTGCCGCCAATTCAGCTTTCGGACGCTCGAAGCAGCCCTGAAAGACTTCAAGGCCACCCCAAAAGGACCCAAAACGCTCCCAGGAGGCTCCCAAGAGGGCGCCAAGACGGGCCAAGACCGCCCCAGCACGGCCCAAGGCGCGCTGAAGACGGCCCAAGACGGCTCCAAGACGGCTCCACGAGGGTGCCAACACGGCCCCAGACGGGCCCCAGGCACGCTCAAGACGGCCCAAGACGACTCCAAGACGGTCCCAGGAGGGTGCCAATACGGCCACAGATAGGCCCAGGACGGCCCAAGGAGGCGCCCAGTCGGGGCTTCAGGACGGGCCAAGATGGCAAGAGATCCCCAGCTGGCGAAAATCGTTGTTTTTTTTCCATTGTTTATTGTTACAGCCTTTGCGTTTCCCGCCATTTCGAAGGTCGGATGCCCCAAGAGGCCCCAGAAAGTTCCAGGAGGGTCCGAGGAAACGCACAGGAAGTCCCCAAGACGGGCCGAGACGGCCCCAGCACAACCCAAGGCGCGCTGCGACGGCTCAAGACGGCTCCAAAACAGCCCCAAGAGGGTGCCAACGCGGTCCCTGCTGGGCCCAGGACGGCTCAAGGAGGCGCACAGGAGGGGCCCAAGACGACTCCAAGGCGGCCCCATTCACGGCTCCAGACGGCTCCAAGACAACCCCAAGATAGTGCCAACAAGGACCCCGATGGGCCCAGGACGGCCTACGGACGCGCCCATGAGGGGTTCACGACGAACCAAAACGGCCCCCTCACGGCAAGCGGCGCCCTCAAGACGGGCCTAGACGGCTCCAAGACGGCCCTTTGAGGGAGCCAACACGGCCCCACACCCTTCGGGCGAACACTTGGGGGGGCTGGGAGCTTGCGACATGTCTCCCACATTCATTGTCCTGCCCCATTCTGTTCGCCTGGAGGCCTCCTCCAACCGTGTGGGCGAACAACAGGAAACCCAGCGGGCCGCCAACCCTGGGGCCCGTGGGCCCCGCGCCGCTTGAGCAGAAGACGAACGCTGGTTCTGACAGGCCAGCTACCGCCCCCCTTTGCCCGATATGCTGTGCCATTCTGTTCCCCCAGGGGCCTTGGCAAACTCTTCGGGCCAACCAAACCCGACCCCTGGGACAGCAGCCAATTGATATGACCCAGGCACCTCTCCGCACCCTTCGGACCACAGACCCTCTGGGCGAGCAGAATGGAGCCCGTTTCTTGATTGCTTGGGGCATGACGGGCGTCATGGCCCCCGCTCCCCCCCCCCCTCCTATGACGTAACGCTCCCCCCCCAGTGCGCTCCGGGCACTGCCGCCGTGCGCATTGGGATCCGCATAGGTGTCCGCGTAGGAATCCGCAAAGGTGTCTGGTCCGCAGGCGTCGTCGTCGTCGTTGTCGTCGTCGTCGTCGTCGTCGTCCGTCGTCCGTCGTCCGTCGTCCGTCGTCCGTCGTCCGTCGTCATCGCTCGTGGTTCGTCGCTCGTCGCTCGTCGCTCATCGTCGTCATGCGCGCGGACGCGGCTGGAGCCTGTTTTTAAGTCCGGGCCGATGACGGCAATCATCTGGGGGGGGGGGTCGATGTCGTCACGTTTCGCGCCGGCGGCGTCTGGGAATGCTTAAGAATGACGGAGGACGGGTAGCACGAACATGTAGGTGGCGATATGCACCACAACGCTTGTGTACATCACAATGCCCGCGTGCACCACAGCGCCTGTGTACACCACGCCGCCGATGTACACTACAGCAACCGCGTGCAACACAGCGTCAGTTTGTGCCACCGTGCCTGCGGGCACAGCAGCTCTTGTGTACACCACAGCGCCTCCGTACACCACATCAGCCGTGCGCAACACAGCACCAGTGTACACCACAATGCCTGCGTGCATTGCAGTGACTGTGTACGCCGCGGCGCCTGTGTGCAACACAGCACCGTTGTTGTGTATAGAATTTCAGAACGAATCCTTGTGACAAAATGGAACGCGCTTGGATTCCAGAGAAAACAATGGAAAACAAATCCTCATGGACAAAGGAGCTCCGCTGGAATCTACGAGTCCCCCCGAGTCCGCCCGCATCACCCTAACTCCCACTTGCGTCCAGGAGGCTCCAGCTAAACTGGCCGTCCGGGAACCAACTGGACCGATTCAATCGACCATTCTGCGGTGCACGCTGAGATGCGCGCGTGCCTTTTAACTCCAAGCCGCACGACACGGGGTAAAAAGGAGGAGAAGGAGGAGGAGGAGGAGGAGGAGGAGGAGGAGGAGGAAGAGGAGGAGGAGGAGGAGGAGGAGGAGGAGGAGGAGGAGGAGGAGGAGGAGGAGGAGAGGAGGGAGGAGGTGGAGGAGGAGGGAGGAGGGAAAAACGTCGCATTCGATTATCAGAATTTTCCTGGCGTGGCGTTTAGTTGTCCGCAGCAGATCCTGACGTACATGCTCCTTCTACCTGTCCTATGCACGCAGGCACTGTGGTGTACACCAGCGCTGCGTTGCACGCGGATGCTGTGGTGTAGACAGGCGCTGTGGCGTGCACAGGCGCTGCGGTGCACGCAAGCACTGTGGTGTACACAGGCGTTGTGTTGCACATGGCTGCTGCGGTGTATGTACACCGGCGCTGTAGTGCTCCCAAGTATTGTGGTATACACGGGCGGTGCGTTGCACACGGCTGTTGCGGTGTACGCAGGCGCTGTGGTGCACACGCGCGGTGTGGTGCACGCGAGCGTTGTGGTGTACACAGGCGCAATGGGCAGATCGCCACTTACATGCTGCTCGCGTCGTCGTCGTCGCTCGTCGCTCGTCGCGTCGTGCGCGCGGGCGCGGCTGTGGTGCCGGAGCCACACGGCGGGGGGGGGGGCGTCACGTCATACCCCCCCCGCCCTTCCCCCCCCCCCATGACGCCCGTCATCGCCGAACATACGGAAACGCGCTCATGGGACTTGTCGAACAAACCCTCCCGTTTGCGGCGACGCGATTGGATCGCACCATCAAGGCGTGCCCTGAGGCGATGGCCGACCGAACAACGGTTTCTGTTAAGATTGTACTGACTTCCAAATTTTCTTTCAGCTCTCCGGGGCCCTCCCTGTAGATCCTTGCGCTCCCCGGCGCTTTCGGTGGTTGTCCCCGATGGCCTCCCGAACCCTGCCCCAGGCGCTCCTGAGACGCCTCAGAAGAGCTTCGACTTCGACGCACATCCCCGAGAGACTTCGAAACTGCCCTCAATAGAAGGGGGGTGAACGAGAAGTGCGCCGGGGCCAAGCTGCTGGAGCGCTGCAACAGCTCGGACACGAAGGCGCGGTCTCGCTGCCGCCGCCCGAGCCGCCGCCGTGTTTGTAGATTTTCGGTGCAGTCTGCGCCGTTCCTCCGAGAACCATTCCAGAAAGATGTCGTGGACGGAGTCCACGGGTCAGCCACAGTCAGCTATAACGCTGGGATCAGCGCGTGCGAGAAGGGCGAGCAGTGGCAGCGGGCTGTGGCACTGTTGTGCGAGATGCGAGAGGCGAAGCTGGAGCCCAGCGTCATGCCACAAGACCTGGACCAGTGCTTGCGAGGGAGATCGCCAGTCGCAAGGCCCTTGTTTGCCTGTGCTGGAGGCATCGACAACACCAGGCGGCCCCAGAAGATATCCAACAACTCTACACATAGATCATTCTCAATTATTCGAGAGTTCTTTGATTTTTTGGGGGGCCAAGATCCTTTCATTTCTAATTTTTCTATCCTGGGCCTCGTCCCGGCCACCAGGGGGCCAGGAACCATTAGAAACGAGCACAGTTAGAAATGAGCACGATTAGAAACGAACGGCGTGTACATGGCTCCAGGCTGGCCGAGACAGCCTCCAGGACGAGTCCAAGACGGGCCGAGACGTTCCGCAATTACGCAAGTCTTCCCGGAAGAGGCTTCAACGTAGCTCCGCGCAGGGCCCCTGGAGTGGGCCACGGGTCATATTATCATGGTCTCTCGTTGATTTTCGGCTCTGCCTGCTGTTGGGCTGTGTGTCGCCCCGCGCAACCGAAATCAGCAGCGGGCGCGCGCAAGGCAATGGTTCGGCCCACAGGTGGCCCAAGAGGAACCCCAGACGGCCTCACAGAGCCACCAGTTGCCCGCCAAGGGCGCCCCAGGAATCCCCCCCAAACTGTCCGAGAGGTCCCTAAAATAGACCCCGTGGGGCCGAGAATTGCTCAGGAAGGACAGTCCGAGGTGCTCTAGAGCCTCCCCAAAGACGCCGACAGGACAGGTGCCAAACAACTCTTCCTAAGAGAGCCTTTGTGCCTAGCACCTTCCGCATCTGTGGCTTCGTCGGCGCCCCATATAACCCCAGGCCCGAGAGAGGCCCCAACCCATTCCTGCATGCCCCAACGCCCCCCTACAATATCCCGATAGCTGCCAGGTAGTTCCCACAAGAGCCTCAAACCTGGCACTTCTCGCCGCTTCCAGATTCCAGGAAGATCCCGAGACAAGAAAACAGATCATCAGACAACGTCACAGAAAGTCTTCGTCCCAGCTGTTTCTCGACGGTTCTCTCATATTCACCCTTCCCCCGTCCTCCTTCCTTCCCTCCGTAGCCTCTTCTGCTCAAGCCATTATGGCTCGAGGCGGGTGATTCTCTTGGGGAAAAAAGTGGGCACCTCTAATCCGAGGCTGGATAGACCTCAAGGTTACATCCACACGCTCATCACAGGGATCTTCCCAGCGGCTGTGAGTTCCGGTCCCGCCCTCAGTTGTCTCGAGGGCACCCGCGGCCGTGGAGGCATCTCCAACTCCTGCACTCGCAGATACTGAGCTTATTCTCTCGTTTCGTTTTCTGCGCCAAAGCGGCAGTGCGAGGTTCATTCCAGATGTCTCGAAGATGGCGACGAAGGTCCAAGACATCATGTTGAAGAGGTCACATGGCGACGGTGGGCCTTCACAGAAGGTCCACCGGACGACGGCCGACCATGGCCAGGACCCACAGGATACTATGCAGAAGTTGGTTGCCCAGCTGAAAACGATGGAAGAGAGCATGGCGACGATGAAATCGCACATTGGTACCATCAAATACGACGCCAGAACCTGGACACGCAACGCCGACGAACTTGCCAAAAAGCTCACTGATTTGGAAAAAGGACTACCATGATCCGTGCGGAACAGTGCAGCAGCAGCTCACAATTGTGATGAATGGCAGATTCGACGTCAAGCTCTAAGAAGCGAAGGACACCACCGACAAGTCGATCCAGGATAATGCAAATCTTCGCGCGCTTTCCAGCTCGGCGGCGAGTACGGCATCCAGTAAGCATAATCCTCGGGAGTTCGCCAGCTGTAACCCGCATCGCGTTTAGGTGGCTGGCTGTCCTCGCCCATTCTTGGCTGCTGGTCTACAGCGACACGCAGTCGACCTCGTCGCGAGGCACACCCCTAACTTTGCGATGGCGCTCTTTGGATCTTGTGGTTGAAAGCACAGGAGTCGGCATGCGAACAAGTCGGCATGCGAACAAGTGGAGCGGCCAATGCACGTTGGACGCGCAGTGGTTCGCCAACAATGGGGAGGCCGAGGAGTTGTGCGCAGCGAAACGCGTCGCCCAGGACCAGCTAGACATAGCTTGGTTTCACAGAGGAGAGCACCGAGCGCACCATCGACGGCGCCACGTTCCAGGTCGCTTCCACGCCATGCCGGCGGACGAGGAGGCCCGCGAACTCAGAGTTGAAAGTGGCCGAGTGGCGCGGCCAGCCAACCCTTGGTGTTCTTCGTCGTTTGTCTCAGCAGGGCGCGGGCGCAGCCCCCCTGACGCCCTCCCGTTCAGATGCAGCTGGCCCGCCTCTTCGCCCTCCTCCTCTTGTTCTTTTGCTCCGACGAGTCGGATGGAAGCCGGCCGACCTCGCATTGGAGGCGCCGCCCGCGCGCGCCCGAGAGAAGGCCCCCCGCGGCGTTTCGGGCCGCCGCGTTTCTTTCTCGGCGCTCGCCACTCCGCCCGGCGCCCCCTCGCAAACAGAACATCCTGCAGCAGATAAAGTTGCGCCAGGTTCATGAATTCACGCGCTCTCAGGGTGCGCGCGGGAGTTTCGAATGGTCCATGGCGTTGCGGCGCGACGCATGCAACGTTGAACTGGACGGAGTAGCATGACTGCTTCCTTCCACCCTCCGCCTTCGCTGCGGCGCGCGCAGAGCATCTCTGCGAGGCTTCGTCTTCTCCGCGAACTTTCGCGCGCGCGCGCGTCGTCGCGCCATTCCTCGGCGGCGCGCGCACGCGCGGGGCTCGCGCAACGGCGCTCATGCCCCCGCAGGTCGCGAACGTGCATTGCGATCCTTCCTTTCGCGCGTCTGCGCGGAAGCCGCCGCTGCTTCTTGTTCGACGCGCCCTTCGCGCGACGGCCGCGCGGGGGCGCGCGACGGCCGGGGGCCCCAATCTCTCGGCGCCCGGCGAATACGGTTACAGGGCTTGGCGGGGGACCGCGCGGCGCGCCCTCCGCGCTGGAGTGAGTGCCTCGCTGGGCCTTCGTCCGCCGTGCGCGCGGGGCGCGCCCGGCCGCCCGCCGCCTCTTCGACGCCCCAGTAGCGTCGGGCCCAAGTACTAGCAATCTTTTAACGTCGAGCAGTACCTGACACGCCAGATTGACCGACATGCACGCGGCATCGAGGACGACGCAACAAGAAACAGCCAGAACAGGAGAAGCAAAACCAGTTACCATTGTTCATACCGTGCAGATTGGATCAAACTTGCCGCTCGGGCGTCGCTCCACGCCGTCGCCGACCCGCTTCCAGAGCCGACCCGTTGTCCGCGCGGGGAAGCTCGCGCGCTGGCTGTCCATCGCGGCCAAGCTCACTCGGCGCCGTTAGCCGAACCTGGGGCGCGCGAGTTGCTCGAGCACGTTCAGCCGGCGTCAGTGCGTTCTTCCTGGGTGGCGTTCGAATGGGGGGAGTTGACGTTGGCGGTCCCTGCGGCCAACGATTGCGCCCAAGGGCCCGGTCGGATCCCGCGCGGCGCTCCGGCCAGAGCGGGGCGCGGCGCGGCGGCGGCGGTCGCAATTTAGCACGAGCACGTTGTAAATATTTACTCGTGCCATAACAAGTTCCACTGCGGGCTGGATATCTCCTCAGCTCAAGAGGAGCAGGGGGGGGGGTCGCGGCTCGTCGCTCGACCCCCCATCTACCACCCCGTTGATCACGCCGAGCTAACGAGATAATTTTGCCGGCTTTCATTCGCCCACTCGGCCTCGCGCGTCAGCAAACTTGTATCCGATGACAGCGTGGGTCATGGGCGCCAGGGGTCAGGGATAGAGTTTCGGTCTCTCCATTGACTCAGCCAGAGGCGGCTCCGACTTGCGAGATTTGTCGCGTGCGACGTGGCTGCCTCGCCCCCAGACCTGGTAAATGACGCCATTTTCGCGGTGCTCGGCGCCGCGCGGATTCCCGCGTTCGGCTCTCGTGCCACCGAGCGCCTGCGCTCTCATGCATTGATTGCAGCGACCAACCGCGGGCCCTCGCGGGGGCGTCGGGCACGGGCTCCACAGGGGCACCGAGCCGGGATGCCATGTCTGTGGCGCGACATTTGCTTTCGCGGTCGGCCCGATTATTCGGGCGATGCGTCTGCCCGAGTCTGCCCCATCCTCGCCCGTTGCACGGCGCCTGCGCCTTCGCGGACTGCGTTGGCATCGCCTCTGGGGGGCCGTCTTCGCGTTTATCTTGGGCGGGGAAGGCGCGGGGCGAGGCGGGCCGGGCCTTTGGCGCGCATTTCGACCTTTCCCGGATTTCCCCGGGTCGCGAGCCGCCTCTTGGCCTCGGACATCTAGTTCCAGGCGCCGAGGGTGCGCGGGCCCCGCGCTCCGCGCCTCCAGACGGACCGCATTGGCGGAAGAGTTGGCGCGCCGATTGCCCCGCGGCGCGCGCGCGCCGCGGGTGGGCCCGCTTCGCAAGTGCGCGAAACGCACGGGACCCGTCGGGGGACTCAAACTCCGCCTCGCCAACACAGATGCTCAGCGCAACGTGACATCGCCCCTGGCTTGCCCTTCATCGCGCAAATGCCCCCCCCCCCCCGCCCCCACCACGCGCAGAGGCTGCCCGGCTTGGAGCGGAAGTGCCCCCAGAAACCGATTGCAGGACCCATCGGCGCCATCGCTCACACTGCAGTGAAAGGGTTTTGGATTCCTCAGGACCTCGCTTCCCGGATTTTCTCTTGATGCGCGTTGCGCGGTCACAGTGAGTCGTGTTGCGATGCTCCGCGCTGCGTCTTACTCTCCCGCCCTCCACGCTGCGCGTGAGGAAATTCGGGGGTTTGGGGTGTCCGGCGAATGCGATGCCGCTTGCAGGTGCGATCCTGGGTGGAAGAGCTCTGCTGTGAAAGGGCTGCTTGATCACATCGAGTCCCGCCTTGCGATCCCTTGGGCCATCGGGCCTGACATGCAGACTGCGAGCGCGTTCCAGGCTACGGTGCTGAATATAAAGGCAGACCTGGTGTTCTTGGTCTGCTGGAGGACCTCCACGCGCGTGCCCCCGCCTGTGTTGGCGTCGTTGTTTTGCATGATTTTCAAATGCCTGGTGTTTTTTTTCC